AAGTTCGTTTAATCTCAAAATATCATCATACAGATCTGTTAATGAGACTAGATAAATTTCAACATATCAGTTTCCTATTTGATGTCATCTGCTTTCTTAATATTGTATCTTACTGTGCTTATGCCTTGCAAGAATGTGTTCAAGTCAAAAATCACTGTCCGTCTCACAGTGCAGTGACTAGGTTCCGACCGAGTTTGATATTTCTCCGCATAAGCCCTGTAATTTCGCAAGGCTCTACTTGTGAGATTACACTGGTTTTTTTTTGTTGTCCTGTAATTTCGTAAGGATCAGGGAGGCAGCTTATTTCTAGTTGTTCAGGTAAGCAATTTGTATGGTTCAAGCAGGTACAATGTATTTAATTTGCCTGACCTTTGTTTGAATGATATACATTGGTTGGCTTTGTAGGTTTAATGATTTTAGTTATTGATTTCCACATACTAAGGTCTTGTGATTCTCTAGTAGATGTGCCTATATATATGACCTAAGACAACGATTAGAGAGAGATACATTTGAAGCTCGAACACCCCTAACCCAATTGAAACAGAAACAGTATCCTCAACATAATAATGATCAAAAGCTACAGTAGTCAACACCACCAGAACATAGATTATACATTAACAAACATGAAGAAAGGTATATACTACACTGATTCTAGAAAGATGTTTATTTTCTGCCATCACAGTGGCTCAACGAACTGCTAATGTTAATTGGTTTAGTTAGATCTGTACAAACTTCTATCTCCTCTACAACACCTAGCTCAAATTCTCTAATACAAAAAAACTTATAGAGAATAATCTGGCTGTCCATGTGGGATGGGGCAACTATAAATGCCCAATAGCAAGAAAAATAAATTACACAACTTTTCCCTACTTAACAACTCTCATTCTTCAGATCAAATAACAACTCTAGAGAACTAACAAGAAAAATATGACAATTCACATTTCAGTTGGGTTGACTTTGTAGGTTTAATGATTTTAGTTGTTAATTTCCACATAGTAAGGTCTTGTGATTCTCTGGCAGATGTGCCTATATATATGACCTAAGGCTTTGTAAGTTTAACGTTCACGAGCACATTCAGCATATTTTGATCGCAGGTGGGAAATTTTCCAAATGGTTAAACTGGTAACTATCCACTTTCAAGATTTAATTTAAATCTAACGCTAATACTAAATCATGTGAAGTGTAAACAGATAAACATAGAAGTTGCTATTTCAATGTGCCTGCCCTTGCTCAGTAGGAGGTACGACGATTAAAAATTGGATAGTACTTTCCTAGGTTAATCCTCCCTTCTCTGTGCTCATATACCCTTCAGTAAGAGCTGAAAGCAATAATTAGGGAAAGAAGGTAACTAGACGCATAACACACTAGACCAGTGATAATTTTTCTTCCAACTAAAGCCACTACTTAGCAAAACAAACACCAAGAACAGAAAACTTATACAAAACTAGTTAACAAGCCTAAGCAAAATGCGTTAGGAAAACTACTAATTTTTATAGCTCTATTTTTGTATTAACATCTATGAGTCACAAAAACACATCAAATACACATTACTAAGGTCATGTATTTTTGTAGTTTCATAGAGTTTTACGTACCTTGGTTTGAACTTGTTCTTCATTGCACACAATTCGTATAAGTAATTCTGGAATAGACTACCTCCTTCTTGTTTGAATAATGTGTTTTTGTGACTGCTTGTCTGAATACCCCTGGTACATGTTAATTATTATATATATTTTGATTATTATAATCCTCCCCCTTTTAATAAGTAAATTAATTTATTTATTTTTTTAATATAGATATGATGGATAAAAGTTGGTTGAATATTAGGAATAGAGTCGACCAAAAATATAGAGATGGAGTAGACAACTTTCTTAATTGGGCATTCAGTCAACCAACAGTGAACACTATGATTCGGTGTCCTTGTAAAGGGTGTATGAATACCATGTTCAAGCTAAGGGTTGGTGTAAGAGGAGATTTATTGAAGAAGGGTTTTTGTGATTCTTATAAAGTGTGGGACTTGCATGGAGAAGTGTTAGTTAGAGTTGAAACTTCAAATACTGCAGTTAGTGATGAAGCGGAAGATGATAGCATTGAAGAGGATAATATTACTGAAATGATTCATGATGCTTGTGGATATACGAATGTGGAGGATAATAATAATAATTCAGAGGACAATGAAGAGCCAAATGTACATGCAACAAAGTTCTACAAATTGTTAGAAGATGCTGAGACAGAACTTTATCTTGGGTGTAAAAAAGTTTCGAAGTTGTCTTTTGTTGTTAAACTACTTCACTTGAAGTGTCTTAACCATTGGAGCAACAAATCTATGGATGCATTATTGAGTTTCTTCAAAGAAGTTCTTCCCGAGGGGTCATTTGTGCCTAATTCTTTCTATGAAGCAAAGAAAGTTCTTTGTGACCTCGACTTAGGGTACACTAAAATAGATGCAGTCGAAATGATTGTATTTTATTTTGGCGTGATTATGCCGATGTCCAAGCATGTCCTAAGTGTGGTAAGTCTAGATGGAAGTCCGAAGAACACGGAGGCAAGAAAGTAGCTCATAAAATCTTGCGACATTTTCCAATCAAACCAAGGCTTCAAAGATTGTACATGGCAAGAGAAACAGCTAAAAAGATGAGGTGGCACAAGGAGGGAAATGTTGATGATGGTGTCTTGCGACATCCATCTGACTCAGTAACATGGAAATCCTTTGATGCACGACATCCCACCTTTTCAGCTGAGTTAAGAAATGTTCGATTAGGTTTGGCGAGTACGGGTTCCAACCTTACGGGAACATGAGTTCTAATCATAGCATTTGGCCAGTCGTACTAGCTACGTATAACTTGCCACCATGGGATTGCATGAAAAATCCATATTTCATGATGATGCTTCTTATTCCAGGCCCCAAGTGTCCAGGCAATGATATTGATGTATATTTACAACCAATGATTGAAGAGTTGCAAGAATTATGGGTCGGGGTGGAGACTTATGATGCACACTCAAAATCTAATTTTTTGATGCGTGTGGCTATCATGTGGACGATCAATGACTTTACTGCATATAGAAATCTTTCAGGATGGTCAACCAAAGGCAAGCTTGCATGCCCTTGTTGCCATAAAGATACACAATCAACTTCCTTGCGTAGTAAGTTGTGTTATATGGGTCATCGTCGCTTCCTTCCCATGGACCATCCATGGCGGAGAAGTAGGACGTTATTTGATGGGAAAGTTGAAATGGGAGTTGCACCTAACCCTTTAACCGGTGATGAAGCACTTGTGCAATTACAAGCTTTGGGTAATGTGAGTTTTGGTAAAGGACAAAAGAGAAAGCGTGATATTCATAGCAATGCTTACAATTGGAAGAAGAAAAGTATCTTTTTCCAATTGCCTTATTGGAAGAGCCTTATGTTACGATATAACCTTGATGTGATGCACATTGAAAGAAATGTGTCCGATAATATTTTATCAACTGTCATGAATATGGTTGGTAAGACAACAGACACATTGAAAAGTAGATATGACTTGATGGATCTTGGAATCAGACAAAGGTTGCATCCTATTGAGGATGGGAATAATATTTTGTTACCGGCAGCATGCTACGCATTATCCGCGGAAGAGAAGCTGAAGGTGTGCAATTTCTTAGCTAATCTGAAGGTTCTTGATGCATTTTCCTCAAACATTTCAAGGTGTGTAAACGTACAAGAGAAAAAGATACATGGATTGAAATGTCACGATCATCATGTATTGTTGCAAGACATTTTTCCAGTAGCTATACGTGGTTTGCTACCCAAGGAAGTGTGTGATCCAATTATAGCCTTAGGAAAGTTTTTCAAGAATATATACTCTAAATGCTTGACAATTGAAGATCTTGATATCCTAGAGGCAGAAATTCCTGTTATTTTGACCAAACTTCAACTTATTTTCCCTCCGGCTTTCTTTGATGTCATGGTTCATTTGCCAATTCACTTGCCAAGTGAGGCAAAGCTTGGTGGACCAGCTCAATATCGGAATATGTATCCTATTGAGAGGTAATTTATTATTTAATAATTTTGATGCTATAGTTTTAGAATGACACACATTATATTAATAAGTCATTTTATATAGGTATCTACGAACACTTAAGTCATATGTTTTAGGCCTTTGTAATTAGCACTATGCAAGGGCTTTTTAGAGCATGGAAAGCTCGACTCAGCATTTTGTACTCTAAGTACAATACTAATGAAGAAAGATTATCTCATCGACCTGAAGATGTTGAGCTTGAGGACTGGAAATACCTAATACAATATTTTGGAAGTCCGAAATTTAAGGTATTAACTTAATACCTGAAGATTGTCTCTTTGAATGATGATTTATTAATATGTTTATTTACAGGTTGTAAGTGAGAGGAACAAAGAAATAGAGAAAAGCAAATAATTAAGCATACTTGTGGTACAAAGTCTTTTGCAGAAGTAGAGGAATCTANATTTATTAATCTGTTTACTTACAGGTTGTAAGTGAGAGGAACAAAAGAAATAGAGAAAAGCAAATAATTAAGCATACTTGTGGTACAAAGTCTTTTGCAGAAGTAGAGGAATCTACGGTAAAAATATATTTAATCCCCTACTATCACATATGCTTCTTTGTTATTTACATATTTATATATTTGCTTATATAATTTTTTTTCCCGTAACTATATTTTAGAGAAATCCTATTACTGGAGAATTGGACACACCAAATAAAGTTTGGGAGATCCAACATACACGCAATGATGATAGAGGCGAACTAGTGTGGTTGGATTCACAATCCCAACAAATTCATGTAATTATCTAAAAACACTTATAAAGTTCTCTGTTTCTGTAAGTTTCATTTAATATGTTTTATTATGTTTTGATTTAAATGATTATGCATAAATGCAGGGTCAACTCCAGGAAGTTGTCGCTCAGCAACAATCTGAGGATATCGAGCATCCCATGACTAGAGATGAGATTTTATCCTCCGTTGTTGGTGAGAGAACATGCTATGTTCGTGGAAAAGGATACGGAAAGAAGCCTCCTAAAAAGAGTAACATTCAGCAGGCAAACATAGAGGCCATCGTGTCTTCTGCTATTGATATTGTGCGTCAAGAGATGCAAGCCGAGATGGATAGGAAGTTGCAAGAAGAACGTGAACAAATGGCTGTTGAGTTGCGAAGAAATATGAAAATTGAGTTGGAAAGGAAGTTGGCAGAGGAGCGTCAACACGTAAATGAGGAGCGTCAACACGCAAATGCAGAAACAGACAAGAGGATCTCTCTAGAAGTGGAGAAGAAGATGCATGAACAATTTGCTAGTTTCTTGAGCAGAATGCAACAACAACAGGTACTTGCTCCGCTCCTTCTTAACAATTCTTCTTCCTCCTCGACATTTCTTCTTCCTTCCTTCTGTAGTGACTTCATGTTTAGGGGTTTAGTAACCACCAGGCATTGTGGTGTTCTCTA